AAGACTTCCATCCGCCCCCCCGCACACTTCGGCGCCAACAAGCTCTTCAGCCTCGTGCCGCTGCTGCCGGATGGCGCAAAAAAGGTGGGTGCCCCTCCTTTGTGGGACTCCCCCTCCCCACAGCCGGCAGAGCCCGGCCAGGGTGTGACGCCTCGGGTGCCCCATCCCCGCTTTTGGTTTCAGGGGAAGGAGCTGGCGGTGGATCTCTCTGCTGTCAGCCTGGAGGACCCAGAGATCTGGTCCCCAAAAATTTTCCCCCACTTGGATGAGTCTCAGCTTGCAGCCATCCGGCTGGCACTGAGCAGGGAGTTCGTGCTCATCCAGGGCCCCCCCGGCACAGGTAGGTGTTGGCGTAGGCACCCCAGCACTGCCACCCCCTACCCCATCACTGTCCCCACTGGGCGTCTGCGGGGGCAGAGCGGGGCTCTCCCTGCCCCCAGCGCACGCCGGCACTTTCCTCCCCAGGCAAAACCTTCATCGGACTCAAGATCACGGAGCTGCTGCTGCGGAACCAGGGTGGGGATGCGTGGGGGGAGCAGCCGCCCCTCCTGGTGGTGTGTTACACCAACCACGCCCTCGACCAGTTCATGGAAGGTGCTGGTCCCAGTCCCTGTCCCCTCCCTGCAGACCCCTTGTGCCCATCAGGGCTGTGCCAGCAGCGTGCCCGTCCCACCGGCAGCACGATGCTCATGGGTACCATCGCTGTTGCCTGTCACACCCCGGCTCCCTGGGGGCACACACTGGCCCATGGGTGGGCACAGGCTGGCAGGGCGGTTGGAGGGCAGGTTGGACATGGCCATGGGGTTGGGAGGAAGGTTGGGCATGGCCATGGGGTCATTGGGCAGGTTGGATATGGCCATGGGGATGGGGAGCAGGTTGGGCATGACCATGGGGTTGGGGGGTAGGTTGGCCATGGTCATGGAGTCAGTGGGCAAGTTGACCATGGCCATGGGGTCATCAGGTAGGTTGGGCATGGTCATGGAGTCATTGGGCATGTTGGGTATGGCCATAGGGTTGTTGGGCATGGCCAGGGGGTCGGTGGCCATGTTGGGCATGGCTGGGGTGTTAGTGGCCACGTTGGGTGTGGCTGGGGAGGTCGGCGGCCATGGCTGTGGGTGTTGGCGGGGATGTTGGGCATGGCCATGGGGGTCGGTGGCCATGTTTGCCATGGCCAGGGGGTTGGCACTCCGGCTGCCAGCCTGCCCCTTTCCTCTGCCAGGCATCCTGCAGTTCCAGCCCTCGCGGGTGGTGCGCATCGGGGGAAAATGCCGCAGCAAGAAGGTGATGGGCTGCTCCCTGCCACAGGTCCGGCAACGGGAGCTTTGTGGGCTGGGGAGGGCCAGCAGCCGCCGGCAGCACGCGCAGGTATAGGACCGGGGCCCTCTCCCACGCTCTGTGGTCACCCAGTGGCTTGCTGGCTGCGGGGGCTTGGCGTGGCCGGCTCTGGCTTCAGCCCAGCAGCTCTTGCTCCCCCCCCCCCCAGCTGCGAAGCACCTTGCGGGAGCAGGAGCAGAGCGTCGCCTTCTGCACCGAGGTGCTGGGGCTGCTGCGCCGCGGCGTCCTCAGAGCCAGCGAGCTGCAGGACCAGATCGGGAAGGACAACCTCCTCTTTAAGGTGGGGACCGCTGATACAGGGGGCCTGGAGGTGGGGCTGGGGGTGAGTTCAGTCCCCCACCTTGTCCCTGTCCCCCCCCCAAGGGTGCCGTACATCTGGACATGCTGCAGTGGCTGGAGGTGCAGCTCCCGGAGGACAGGAGCCCGCGGCGAGGACGGGACCATGGCGCAGGTGACCCTTGTTGCCGTTTTCAGCCCCAGACAGGCTCATGGAGAGGGGGGAGCCCTCAGCACGACTTGCATTGGGCACAGCGGGGGCCACCCGGAGTGACCCAGCATGAGTGGGATCCCCCTGCCCCAGGCAGGGGTGGGGGCAGCCACCCAGGGGACAGAGGAGGGGTGTCCCCGTCACAGTGGTCCCCTGAGGGGTGCTGGGGGGGGGACGGGGACACCATCGCCAGCTGCCCCCTCTCTGCCCCCAGGCACAGAGCAAGGGGCCAGGGGGGGCTGTGGGGGCCCTGGGGTGGATGAGAGCTGTGAGCTGCTGCCCCGGGACGAGCGGTGCCTGGACGAGGAGGAGGAGTTCGACCTGGCGGAGGCCGAGAGGAGAAAAGCCCGGGAGAAGTTTGCCTACATCATCCCCGAGGAGGAGGAGAGGTACGGCCCGGGGACCACGCTGGGGCTCGCTAGGGGTGGGGGGACCTGATGGCTACATCCATCTGTCTGTCCCCAGCCCGCTGGACACCCAGCTGGCCCGCTGGCTACAAGACACCGACGCCATGACTGACAGGGAGATCGGCTACCTGAGGAGCCTCTGGCAGCTCCGGCTCAGCGACCGCTGGCGGCTCTACAGGTCTCACCGCCCCGTCCCCCATCACGGCGGGTCCCTGGGGCGGGGGGTCCCCGTCCCCAGGCTGTCCCCCACCGTGACCCCCATCCCGTGCTGGTGGCAGGCGGTGGCTGGGCGCCTACAGCGCGGCGCTGGAGGAGGTGCTGGTGAAGCAGCTGGAGGAATACGAGCAGAGCGCGGCCCAGCTGGCCCAGCACCGGCTCCAGGAGGACCTGCGGATCCTGCGGCAGAGCCGCGTCATCGGGATGACGACCACGGGTGAGAGAGACATCGTGCTGGGGCCGGGCTTGGGTTCCAGTGGTGGTGCCAGTATCAGTGACGGGGCAATTTCTGGTGCTGGTGTTGCTTCCAGTGGAGGTGTTGGTGCCAATGCAGTACCGGTGCTGGTGGTACTGGTGCTGGTGCCACTGATGCTGGCAGTGCCGCTGGTGCTGGTGCCAGTGCTGGTGGTGCCGGTGCCTGCCCACAAAGGTGTGGTGGGAGGCAGGTGAGGACCCCAAGGTGGAGGAACGGGGTGCTGGGTGGACCCTGTCGGGGTGCCGGCTCCTTCACCCGGCTCATGGTGGCCCCAGGGGCTGCCAAGTACCGCAAGCTGCTGCAGAGCATCCAGCCGCAGACGGTGATCGTGGAAGAGGCGGCGGAGATCCTGGAGGCGCACATCCTGACCTGCCTCACCCCCTCCTGCAAGCACCTCATCCTCATCGGGGACCACCAGCAGGTACAGCACCTCGTGCCGCCCCCTACCC